GCGGGTCCGCGCGGAGGAGGAGGAGGAGGAAGAGGAGGAGGAGGAGGAAGAAGGAGATGGGGGCGATGGGATGGGGGGGGATGAAAAGGAGGGAGGGAGGGAGAGGAGGCGACGCGGTGCTTAAAGGGGCAGCGCCGTGCTGGCCGCTCCTCGGAGGCGGCTGGGGGGGAAACGGGGCCCGCGCCGGGGGCTCCGGCGCCGCGGCAGCTGCTCCCCGCTCGCCTCCTCTCCGTGCCGCGATCCCGCTGCCCCTGCGCACCTGCCCTGGGCCGGGGCAGCGCGGGAAGGGCGGGCGGGGATGCGCCCCGCTTTGGGGATGCGCCCCGCTTTGGGGATGCGCCCCTCTTTGGGAATGCGCCCCTCTTTGGGGGGATGTGCGCCCCGCTTTGGGGATGCGCCCGGCTTTGGGGAATGCGCCCCTCTTTTGGGAATGCGCCCCTCTTTGGGGGATGCGCCCCTTTTTAGGAATGCTCCCCGCTTTGGGGGGATGTGCCTCTTTTTGGGAATGTTCCCGTCTTCGGGGGATGCCCCCCTTTTTGGGGGGATGCACCCCTTTTTGGGGATGCTCCCCGCTTTGGGGGATGCTCCCCGCTTTGGGGGATGCTCCCCGCTTTGGGGATGCCCCCCGCCTGCCGCGTTCGCAGAAAGCGGAGCCCGTGTGCGTTTCTCCCCGGTTGCTGCCCCCTGCTCGGTGTGACCCCGCTCTCCCTCGGGAGCGGACACCTTCCCGGCAGCCAGGCCCAGCGTTGCCGGTGTTTGCGCGGCCGCGGGTATGCCCCCCGCTTTGGGGATGCGCCCCCCGCCTGCCGCGTTCGCAGAAAGCGGAGCCCGTGTGCGTTTCTCCCCGGTTGCTGTCCCCTGCTCGGTGTGACCCCGCTCTGCCTCGGGAGCGGACACCTTCCCGGCAGCCAGGCCCAGCGTTGCCGGTGTTTGCGCGGCCGCGGTTAGGAGCTGAGACTTGACACTGGCCAGAGGCCCTGCTGGGGAGGTGTGTAAACAACAATAAATCAAGCGCTGGGTTTGTCCCCAAGTGTTGCCTCGGTGAGCCGCATGTCCCAGGTCTCATGGAGCAGCCCTTGGCTCCCACCACGCCGGAGTTGGTCAATTAACAAAATAACAATATGAGTAGTTAACACGTTCGTGTGATAATTCTCTGTATAGCTTATTGCTATTTTTAAAAATATAGTTTATTTAAGAAAATATTTTCTTTAGTTTTAAGTAGTGATATATAGTGTAATTTTAGAGATGGGTCACAGTATTAACTTATTTTTTTAATCTGCTGCTGCTGAAGTTTTTAGTCCCTTCTTGCAATTTTGTCTGAGTAAATGACTGGTGTGGTTTAGGGAGGCAGAATCCCAGAATGGTTTGGGTTGGGAGAGACTTTAAAGCTCATCTTGTTCCACCCCCTGCCATGGCAGGGACACCTTCCACCATCCCAGGTTGCTCCAAGCCCCAGTGTCCAACCTGGCCTTGGACACTTCCAGGGATGGGACAGTAAATAATTTACTCCTAATGCAAGAGACTCTTATCTGCTATGAAACCCTTAAAAGTGAATTAATTAGTGGTTTGTTGGCTTTTTTTTTTTTTTAAACACTTGCACTTAAGAGCTGCCCAGGCAAGATTGATTTTTTTTGTCTTTGCCCCTCTTTGGAATAGGTTGTGTGCATTCCATTAAACAGATCCCAGGAGCAGGCAGCATGGGCATTATGTTCTGGATGTTGGAAAACACTTGGGCCAAAATCCTGTGGAGAAAAGCAAGATGCTGTAGGTCACTCTCCAAGTATGCTAATATCTAATTTAATTTTTTTTAAATAAAAAAAAATTACTTTCTTAGTTTTTACAAAAAAACGCACGCTGATTAGTTCCCTGTCCTCTGAGGGGTGCAGTCAGTTCTTGGGCTGCCCGTGCTGTGGGGTTACACCCCTGTAGCTCTGTCTGTCTGTCTGTCTGGTTGGAGTGAGATGGCTTCTGCAGCTGGGTGCAGCCCTGGTCATCCCTGTTAGTGTGAATTTTATGGATTACACTGAACCAGGAAACAAGATGTGATTGTAGCAGAAATCCATCCTTAGGTGTATTTCCAGACTGTGTCATTGCTACAGTATCAAGCAAATGCATTTTGAGTGCAGTTTCTATCAAATTGCAGATTTATCCCTTTCTGAGTCTGTGTGTAATCACAGAATCGTTACATTCAAGTTTTCAAAAATTCTTCAAGGAAAAAAATCCCCCAAACATTTCACATAATCGATTCAAAATAATTCTGATTATATTTCTCATACATGTTCTGTCTTCAGTTTATGAACTGTACAGTATATTTATTTTGACTGTCACCACTTGACATATTTTCTTGTCATCTCATAATTAAAGTGTCCACAGGAAAACTGGAGTGTAGGTTTTACTGTGTTTTCTTTACATAATCTGCAGTTCAGTGGTGAAAGGCAGAGCTCAGGGTGCTGCAGTCACAGGGTAAAAAGGGAAAGTCTCAGGTAAAGTAGAGGCTCTTGTGCTGCACTGAGATTTTGGAGGCTCAGATAATTTTTCATTCATCTCCCCACTGGATTTTGGCTGTGCTTTTTTTTTGTTTTTATTCTGTTTTTATGTGTTTTGCTGGGCTGAAATTTTTTCCTGCTACCATTTCCTATGTGCTGATAGAAAAGCCAAGAATTCTTCACATTTTGATACATTGTTGTTAGGGTTGGTGGGACTTTGTTTTGCATTTGAAAATTTCGCTTTGGCATGTAAAAAGTCAAGCTGGTATTAAGTACTTAAAGCTTTGGTTTGTATTCTTAATAAAATTTGTAATATTTGGGTTAAATAAAAATAACATTTTAAAGCTAAATCCTTGCAATCTTCCATTATAGGACTGAAAGGAGTTTAGACTGAATGAAATATAAATTTAATTTATTTTAAATGCTTTAGTCTTATAAAACGCTTAGTCTTCTGGAAGCTGTAATTTTTATTTTCTAAAAGAATTTTGCTTTCCAACTGTATTTTTCTGTGCTGTAATAAAGCCCTGATAATTCTGATTTCTACCCCAGCACGTTTGGGAGTGTTCAGGAGCAGTTCATTTCCTGGACAAGAGTAACTCTTTGGTGCAGTGAAACCCTGGCTTGGTGGCCAAGGGTGAATGGTCACAGAGCCACCACTGTGGCAGTGGAACTGCCTGTTCTAATGGCCCTGTTAATGTCCTGAGTGGAGCAGTCCAAATTGTATTTCAGAATATTATGTCGTGGTCTGGCAGCCAAATGTTGCCTCTGCAAAACTGGCACATATGTGAAAGCTTACAGTAAAGCAGATTAATATTTTTATTTTGGTCTAAGTAAGACCAAATGCAATTTTTTTTTTTCGTGTGAAATTAAAAATGTTGCAAATGTTACTTGCAGCAGCAGCTGGTTACTTCACTTCTCACTTGTTCAAAGAGTCTGTAAGTTTAAAAATGAGAAGTCTCAGAGGGGTTTATTTTGCTACAGCTCAGTGCTGTGCAAAATGTAAAACAACGTACTGCTCTTCTAAGCAAGAGGATTCCAAGAGCAAGGAGAAAAAGCTGCTGATGGAGTTCTTGCATTTGCTTACTTGATGCCAGATGTTGCCACAATCTTTTACCCCAGACCATTTTAGGTCGTTGAACACTGAAATATTCACACTTAAGCAGGTTCTTCACTTTGTTCACTGAGGTGGTTTCATGCCAGAACTGTGGAACATGGGATTCATCAGGTAGATCAGGGCTGGGGTGGAAAATAAAATAATAAATAAAAACTATGGATGTGGAAATGCCAGTTTTGTTGTTATGGAGCTGTGGCAGTAACTTGGTTCCCCTGCCAGCAAGGAGGGATCCCACATCACGCATGGCACTGGGAGGCAAATGTTGGTGCTAGAAAGGGAAATAAAACTCAGATCTTGTTCTGGCATGGTTGGTTCTCATCCTTCACGGGATCACATTGTTTGGGGTTTGATGTGGCCACTGCTCCAGGCCGTGCTGTGCTCATTTTTTAATAGCTAAATGTACAAAAGAGGTATTTGCTGTTAAACCTGAGGGCTGTTTAAGTACACAGGGAGTCAAAAGGTGATTTTTGAAAATGGGAGCTGAGCGTGATGATCACAGAGTGTCCCTCACCTGCTGTGCCCAGGGATCTGCAGCTGATGGGAAATCCAAGCAAAAAGCAGAATATGGCAGCTTACTTCTGGTGTACTGAAAGAGGGATCTATTTCCTTTAAACCTCCAAATTCCAATTTTTATTTTAGTAGCGAGGTTTTGGAATTGCCTGTGCTTTTTCTTGATGGCAGAAGAAACTAGGAAGTGTGGCTATACTTCACATCCTGCTTGGCTTTTTATGAGTTACACAGCAAACAAAGCAAAGGGAAAAGGATATTATCATACTTGCTGAAAAGTAAAGTCCAAGCCTTTTATATTCCAAGGAAACAGAGGCAATTAGAGAACAGAAGTTGGATCTTTATATGTTTTTGACATGCCTAGAGAACAGAGGAATGAAAATGTGTGTGCTGTGTTGTATGATTTTGTAACTAAAGAACTTCTGGGTCAGTCTGTGATCACTTAATTTATGTTTTCTACCCAATTTTTGTGTGGTCTAGGCTATGATAGTAGCAATACCAGAAGGAAGATTACCTGATTATCTTTATTATTATTATTATTATTTTGAGGTGTTAATTTCAGTAGCTTAATTCTTAGTCCAGCTAAAATTTGGCATGATGAATATGTTTGAGCAGGGTTATTCTGCCAACTTAAAAATGACTCAGCATCTTGAGAATGAGTCTAAGTAAATATATTAATATATAAGAAAGGCAGGATTCTTCTTATTTAAGAGCATATCAGCAGTTGAGTTGTGGATTTTAGTGTTGCAGAGGGGAAGGGATCATAAGAATTCACATGGAACATGTGGCTGTTCTTTGAGAACCTTCAACAGACAAAAACCTTTTGGAAAAACTGCTTTATGTGGTACTGGGCAAATATTTATTGCCTAAATTACCTGAATATTCTGTGAGTGTCTCCCTGTCTGTTGGTCCTTGCATGTCACCTGCCTGTGCAGGCATCACCTGGGCCAAGCAGTTCAGCCTGATGCAGCTCACAGCAGTAGGTGAGGGATAAATTTAATCCTAAATAGTCTTTTTTTTTACCCCAGAACACTTAGGCAGCAGTCATAACTCCTGGGAGGATGGAGAGTTGTGTTTGGGAGAGGTGGGAAACAGGAGTGGAGCAGGAAAGGAAGAGTTTTTATTTCATCCTCACTTAAAAAAAAAAAAAAAAGTTCATTTTAAGACCTAAACTTAGTAGCAAAACAAAGTTAATTGTTCAGGTTTTCTGTGTCACTTTCATGTCCAAGTTAATGCTTGATTCATTAATGGGGTTGTTATTCCAGAAATCATTAAAGATATAAAAATTAAGTAATTGGCAAGGGAACATCTTGATGAATTGTTTAAATGCCAAAAATGTGTAGAAGACATTTTCTTATCCATTGAACATCCAAAGTCCATTTTAAATGCATGTATTATTTAAATAAAAACTCCTATTCACCCTTCAACTGTACTTCAATAGCATCAGGAATTCACCCCATCATAGAATAATTGGAAGCTTTTATGGTTTTATAATAAAAAGGTTGGAAAACATAACATATGCTTACACAAACTGCTCACGTTGTAAAGTATTCAATAGCAATAAAGGCAGAGAGACTGGTGGTTATTCTGTGTCTTCCTAATGAAACCACAAAGTATAAACACAAAACAAGATTCATTTCAGTCATAGTTTATTGGGTGCTGATGCAAATCATGATTCAAATAGGATTTCCTGTTGCTTTTGTTTAATTTGCCTGGAAGGAGATGGTTGCATGAGTGTCTCCAAAATGAAGACATTTGAGATGTACTCCTGTGTATATTCCAGAGGCTTCAGTGGCAGAGGGATGGATTTGTGTCTGGGACATGAGCAACCCTCTTTATCCATGTGGGGAATGCCAGAGAAATTGTGAGGCTGGTAGAGTTCTCAGCTTTTTTTTTTCTGTTTATTGAGTTGGTTTTGTCTTTTTAAAATGAAATTTGGTTTGAAAAAGTAATTAAATATCAGTAAGCAGGAGTTGTAGAGGATCAGTTCCAGCTGTGGAAGTGCTGATACACATCCTCTGGGATGTGAGGAGTGCTTGGAGTCTTTCCAATGCCACCCTCTTGCCACAGCAGCAAGGCAGATGTGACAGCATCTTCCTCATTTTTGAGTCCAACATGTTATGAAAGCACATTGGGTAAAAACTGAGGGCAAAAACTCCTTCTCTGTCCTGTAACAATAAATATGTGTGAGGATTCTCATGCTGGACGTATAAAGTCCTTCTGTTTGTAATGTTAAGAATACAGAAAAAAAAAGGAATCTTCATTTATTATGTGAATATTGGTGGTGGATGAGAGAGTGATGGGAAATGGTTTTGCTCCCTCATACCCTAATCCCTCAAGAGTTTTGGAACAATTAAAGAGGGAGGTTTCCTTTCCCCCAAGTTTTTGTGTTTTTCTCTTGCCAAAATTGCTGTTTAGTCCCCCAAATTCTTTACCATTACTTTATGGGGCTAATAAAGCGGGTCAAGTTACAGTGTGAATTGGGTAGGAGAAATGAGATGCTGCAGGAAGTTCCTTGAATTTGAGGATCTTTCCATAGTCAGAAGAATGAGGATTCTATTTTTCAGAAGGTAGGAGAACAACCTGAGGATTTCCTTCCAGAATTCCAAGAGCTATGCAGGATACCTGGCATACATCATTTTATGACTTTATTACTTCAGAAACATTCATTTCTAAATGAAGGATTGGGTAGAATTCCTCATCTTTCTCATCCTTGTTAAGAAGGACTGTGGTAAATTGGGATGACATGGAATCAGGAATGTGGCCCTTGATTTGCATCTTTCCCTAGAAATACACTGGTGTACACACCAAGGATGTGTGCAGAATCAGGAGCTGGAGTTCTTCACAAGACCCAGATCCCCTCAATTTTATTTCTGTTGTTGTGCCTGGAGAAATTCCTATGATCTATTCATTTTATCAGTTAACAGCATATGCAATTTTAGCTCATAAAGTGGCACATTTTTAATATATATTTTTTTAATTTGGTACTTGCAAATAGGAGAATTTATGGAATTAAATGTACCAAAAGCAGAGTTTAAACAAGAGCGAGTTGCTAAAGGAGCACAAATCTTGTAATGAGATGGTTTGGTGTTGGTGTTGAGATGCTGTGTGACAGTGTGTGGTGCTTGGGAGGTGTCCTGTGGTATGAATGCTTTGGATGGATTGTTAAGATCTGAGATGGAGGGATATGAAAAGAAGATGCTAGGAAAGATTAATGGGACAACAAAGCAGTGGATACACTGTTGGAGAGGCCTTGCTGAATAAAGTCACTATTACCTAGCATCTCTGTTCAAAATCTTACATGTAAAGAAAGGTTGATGGTAGCTTGGAGTGTAGCCTGTATTTCTGCAGAAATTCAACTTTAGTTGTGGATTTTAATTTATTTTTAATTTTCCATTTCTTAAAGTATAATTTGCATTCATTTTTTAATGTAATTTCATATCCATCAAGATTAACATATAAATAACTCTATTGCACCACCAAACAATAAAGGGAACAAAGTGACACAAAATAAATCTCATTTTACTGCAGCCCAAAATTGGTTTTGTGGCTTTTTAGGGCTTGACTCCCAGGGCAATTGACAGCAGAGCTGTTGAAGAGTAACTGAGTGGCTGCATCTGTGTGATGGAACTCCCTGAGGCTGGTATTATGTTCCTGGGCAGGAACATTGTCTTTCTTAAAAGTATAATATTCTAAATAATGACTGTACTTTTTAAGTACATGAGACAGAGGAAATGGAAATCGCCTTGGTGCTGAATGAGGAGAACAGTTTTAATAAACTTGTCTGCATCAACTTCATATTGATTTGTTTGTCTTAATTTTTGTGAATGACTCTACGTGGGCAGGTCGGTGGAGATGGAAATGAACTGCAGCAAAGGTGGAATGAATCCTGGATTTTGGCATGTGTGCTCTAGTTACTGCTTCATTATTTGAATCAATTATTACTATCATTATTTGGATCTATAAAAACACATGGATCTTAATGTCTGCTCATATTTGTTGATGTGAATGTCACAGGTCTTTGCTTCCTGTGCTGTGAAATGCAGAATGAGAGGATGACTCAAACGAGGGCCCTTCGTGCTTGAATGAACAAGTTCCTCTTTTACTTTGTAGTTAAAACCTCGGTGCTGATTCACTTTCCGAGAGACAAAGCAAATTGCCCTTTGTTTTGGTTTCACAGTTAGGTATTTTTATTATGATGGCGTTGCTTTCAAGCCTGTCTGCCAGAGGGATTAAAGGAAAACAAAAATTGGCAATAGCAAGTCCAGGTTAAGACTCCACAGTGGCTGGGTGTTGTCTCCACCCTGTAACAGGTGTACCTGCTCCCTCCTCCTTCTCCCACTGAAATGTGCAAGAACACATCATCATCTGCAAGCTCAGACCTCTCTTGCCTGTTGTGTTTTAGGGATCAATAGTATTAAATGTTGTTCAGTGTCTCTTTGAAATCAACAGTATCACTGCAAAATCCTCTGGCTCCTTCTCAGCCACATCCTTCCCTCTGCAGCATCTTTCACCCAGGCCTGCATTTCTTTAGCACCTCTTTGTTCCTGCCCTGGATATCCCATAAGCTGCCTAGAAATTTGCTTTTTCCAGAGTTTCAGCTGAGAGCTTTGCAGGCAAGGGCCACTTCTTCATACCCTGAATATTTGACTGACCAGATCTGGCAGCAGTGGCCCCATCAGTTCTTGGCTGCAGTTATTTCTGAATGCAGGAGCAGGATTTTCAGATTTGCAGTAGTCCTCCTTATATCTGAGCAGAGACACAGAATGGATAATTCATCTATTTATCTATCCTGATTTACCTGTCAGTGACCTCTGTTCTGAAGATGCCATGAATAGTGAGAAGTCTTTTATTTGAAAGTAGCTCAGTAGATTGAAGTGAGAATGAGTACCAAAATGCATGGCATGTGAAGAAGGGAGCAAGAGGGTTACACTGTCCTCAGAACAGAATTAAGAAGCTGCAAAAATGAGAGAAGCCCATTTTCTGAAGATACAGATCTTTGACAGTTTAAGGAAATGTGGTGAGAACTTTTAATGTGCTGTCTGCTTCTTGAACCTTCAAGACCAGGTGTATCACTTAGGGCTGAAACTCCTTTTTGGTCAGTGTTCAGTCTCTAACCAATGGCTGAAATTTAAACTGCCTTAAAACTCCTCTAATACCTTCTCTGCCCTGTTTAGAACCAGGTTTCACGAGCCAGAGATGGCATCTAGATTGAGTGGCTCTTGACATTTTGTTTTTCTGTGAATTTATCTGAAAACCATCACTTCTTGGAAAACAACACGTGCATAAATTTTAATTAATTTAAAGACCAATTCAAAGAACAATTTCATATTGCTTTCAAAAATGTTGGAGTTACTTTCTTTCTAGTTCTTATTGTGAACTTTATCTGTGTGAGAGACAGAGATAATCAGATTCAAGATCTCAGCTGTGTTTTAGCCATCATTTAATTTCTGGTGGCCTCTGTGCAACCTTAGTGTCTGGAACTTCTCCTGAGATGGTTTTTTAATGCTTTTCAGCAGTTGTGTTTTCTAAGTCTGTTTTCACAATCTTTGCTACTTTGCTACTTCACAATCCTTACTACTTTTTAAAAGTAGCTTCACTGTATCAAATGGGTGCTATTAAATGTAATTAAAGTAATTTTAAGTGGTAATTTTTGGAAAGCTTTTTTTAAATGGCCGAATAATCCTGTAGCAGAACCTGTCTTCACAGAAGACAGGATCCTAACAATGGCCCATTTCTAGCATCGTGCTTTGATTTTACCATGGATTGTATTCAAATGATTATGAAGGAGATTTAAATGGGGGGAAAATATCTCTCACCTTTCTTGATTTCATGCTTAATTTTCACAGCAATGGTGAGTTACTCCTATTTGCATTTCATGGTTTTGTTTTTGGGATGTGTCTTGTCTAGGCAGACAGACACTGAGCCAAGGAGTAAAATATGAAGGTTTAACAGCCTTCTGCTAGAGGTGTCAACAGAGACAAAGGTGAATGTAGAGAATGAATAGAATAAGATGAGAGAAAGATCAAATAATGGGATAAGAAGTTCAAGCGTGGGATAATGGGTGTGATTACAGATTATTAACAATGCAAAGATTTGCAAAATGTGCAAAAAAATTCCTGTCTGTTCATTAACACTTGATGAGGGAACCACATAGTAAAACAATTTTTAAAAAAATTATATTGAGTCTTAGAATGTTTGTTCTAAGGTGTTATTTTCTTCTGACTGTTTCTCTGTTGGTTTTTAGGTTTCTGTCTTCCACCTTGTACATAAGTGGGATCTCTGTGCTGGAACAAGATAATGTCTTCAACTCATTGAAGGAAAGGGGTGAGCAGCTTTCTCCTGGCCAACATTTTATCTTCTTTAGAAAACAGCGTGCCCTGGAAATAAATATCATCCTCTACCGTGTTGAAAGGGAAGCCAGTTCTAGTTGCTTTTCATGTGTCAAAGAGAATTGATTTTTGTTTCTTTTTAACTTGCTGTGTGAATGTAAGGATCTAATGTTACATAGCAAGTGCCAGGACTAAAGTTAAATGAGATTGAACAAAGAGCCATGCCGAATCTGCCAGTCATGCGTTTCTCCCTGAAGGACTTCAAAGAAACACGTATGAGGGAAAATTAGAAGGAATGATTACTTGTTAACAAGTCTGTTGGGTAGTTCCTTCACAACCCTAAGAGGCTTGGTGGTTAGGTCGTAGCCTGAAGCGTAACTATTTATATCTCTTACAAACATCTGTTGTAGCTTGTATATGTTAAAAATGATACCACTGATCTCCAGCAGCTCACTTGTACCTTCTGTTAACGTTACTGGGTGGTCCCTGTGCCCTTAATTATGAAGGAGTAAGTGGAACAAGCAAGGAGTGGAGTGATGAATGTTAAGTGATCACTTTGTGTGTATGTTTCAATCTCTTCTCTTACATACTCAACTTGCACAAGCTCTCCACATTTCTAATTATGATTAGCCCTCTTCATTTAGCTTCCTTTCTGCTTTACATTTTCCTTCCTACCTCATTTTATAAAAAGCTTCTTTCTTTTTTTTTCCCCTTTGCTTTGTAGACCGTGCTCTTTTATGAATTCCCTTTCGCCACAGGTATCAGTGGAGTTTCTGATTGCAGGTCATGCATCAGCTTCCAGTTACATGACCTTAAGTTTTTCCTTGGGTTTTCTACACACTTTACTTTCAAAATAAATAGAATGAGAGTTAGTTCTGTTCTGTGTGAAGCAGACCATCAGACTCATCCTCAGGTTATTTTTGTTATTTGTAAGTCTTTGAATATAAAACAAAAACACATTTTTCCCTCTGCTCTCAGTTTCTTTCACAGAGAATAATTGACATTTTGAAAGCTAAGATGTCCAGAAGTCATATATTGTTGGGTTCACCTCAAATACCCAAACACTCTGTGTCCTGAGGTAGGGTGTGCTGGTTGGGGATGGTCTGTGAGCTGGGAATGGACAGCCATGGGTGGGTCAGCCAAGAGCAGGGCTTGTTTGAGTGCACCACAACCACCTCAGAGCACGTCAGCTGCTTTCCATCACAGCCACCTTCAGCAGGGAGAGATGCTGTTCAGCCTGGCTGACTCGGTGTCAAAAGGATCAGAAACCATCCCCGTGGTGTGTGAGCTCGGTGGAGGAGCTGTGGAAGTAATTAGCTGTGGCAGTGATGAACATCTGGGAGCCATAGCAGCCCCATCTCTGTCTGCAGCCTGAGCATCTGCTGGGGCTGTGCCTGCTAACGAGCAAATGAGGGCATGAAACCCAAATCTGTAAATACCTCCTCCGTTACTTTTCTTAAAGTTTAACACACTTTGTTTCTTGCCTCTACTGAGTAATGAGGAAATGTTTCTTTTTAGTGAACAGAAGTAATTCCGCAGTTAATTGCCCCAATTTAAGTGTGTGATTAGCTCAATTTGTTCTTCTTGATTTGCAGTGGTTGTCTTCACTAAATCTCATCAGTTCCTATCTTGCCTAATAGCTCAATCTTTTTCTACAGTAATTATAAGTCAGAGGGGAAGCTCTTGTGAGAAATAAAGGAAATACCCATGTAGAATTCTTTCCAGTCATTCCCCTGGGAGAAAATATGGCAAAAGTCCTTCTAGATGCAATAATCTATGGATCTAGCTCAAAGCTGTGCACCTCCTTTCTTCTTTTGTGTGGCCTGAGGGCCTTCCAGATGTGGAACGTCTCTTCATTATGGAAATCTGTAAGGAGGGGTTAGTCCAGCTTGTCTTGTTCTCCAAAAATTCTTGCCATGTCCTCCTGTCTTTACCAATTTACATGTATTATCTTTGTGGCCTCCCTCTCCAGGTTTTTCTTCATGCCACAAATATGATCTTACATCCCTCTGAACTCTTAAGACTTTCTTCCTCTTCTACAACTTGTACTTTTATTTTCTCATTTTTGCCTAAGAATTTCATCTTTCTTCCACAGTTAAACAATTTCTTTAGCAGTGTTTTCTGTGGGGCTTAGTTTTAAAATAATCATTAAATAGTGTTTGCTCTTTCTTTGTTGATCGTTTCAACTGTTCTGCTTTTGTTTTGAGGGTAGTCTGGTCCATGCTTTGGATGTCACAGTCATAAATTAAATGTATGTCTTTTGAGGAGGAAGAAAAGCAGCATTTTCTACGTGCCTGTTCACTCTGTCAATAAAGACAGGCACTTGCATTGGCTGTCAGCTGCCATTTATGAAAGAAAATAAATGTTTAAACATCAGACAAATGCTTACAGGGCTGATGCTTCAGAATGTGTTCCCTTGAGGTATTTTGAGAGGTGTCTCACTTATTGTGGCAAATGCTGATATAGCTTTTAACATTAAATGATTTGTAACTGTAAAAAAAAATTAAAATCTGAAGTACTTCTATCAGTGAGTGCACTTAGGTTGTTGCCTTTGTATTTTTAATTTTGGTGGAAAAATCAATCGTGTTTTTGGAGTTTCAAAGAAAGAATACTGATGTTCTGTAAAAACAGATATTACCCAGTTTGTAGTGGAAGCCATGCTTACATCATCTTGGTGAACTTTTCTGGTCTTTGAAGCTGTTTAAAAAAAGATTTTTAAAATTGCACTCATACTTAGGAATTACACTTACTGAATTTGAGGAAGAGTAAGGCTTGAGGTTTCTCCTGAGGAGTTTGGTTTGTCTCTGTGCCTGAAACTGTTGTCAAAGAAAGGAACCTTGAAATTTGTCCTGTGTTTGCAAAATGAAACACTCACTTGGGACTGTTATAATCTGCAGGGGAAAATATCCAGAAATGTAAAAATTGCTCTTGAAAATGGTCATATGCAGTAGTGATATGCAATAAGGGAAGGACTTAAAATAGTTGAAAAATGTGTAGTGATTGAACACATTGAAAAAAAATATTGTTTCAGATCTTAAAGTGGTGAAAATTTTGAAACTTAGTTCTTCAATACTGACATAAGTGAAAACGAGCAGAAAGCCTGGAATTATTACCTGCATGTAATGTTTTTCAAGGCATGAGCTCTGACTTCTTTTTTAATATGGATTTTTTTAATAGCAGCTAAACATTAGCACTTCTATGTGTCAAGGAAAATTGACTTCTGTGTTAATAGTTACTGGTAATAGCTTAATGAGTTACGTGATTTCAGTTGTAATGGCTGCAGATCTGACAAGAAAATGAAATGTGAAGTAATAATTTGCTGGCTACACTCTATCTGGTGGTGGTGCTTTGCTAATTTATTTTTTTTTAATTATGGCATGTCTTAATTTAAAAACATTTAACTCATTTGGGCACCAAACTCCAGCTAATGCCTAAAGAGAATAACATGATACCTTTACTTGTGTTTAAATCCTATTGTAATTAATATTTCCCAAAGTATCAAATGTCTCTGACATTGAGAGTTCTGAATTCCTAGGTCCCTTTTGAAACTTTATAATCACGTGGGCCCAATTGTTTAAAAATTGTTTGACATTGTTCCATTCTTTGTTGAACTTTAAATGACTTGGATGGCAAATTCCTGGTGTCAGAAGTGATTTGAGGCTTGGTCTCTCAAAGTAATTTCAGCCCTACTTTAGAATCTGGGATTCACACCCAAAAGTTAACAGGGTATTCCTTAACATTTTGCATTTGGTTCATCATTTTAAACAATTATTATTGCAGTTACAGTGATGCTCAATGGGTTGGGAGCCTTTTCAAAACACAGAAACACAAACCTGCCTGTGTCTAGATTTCATGTATGACCCCAGAATGTCAGTTAAGTGGTGAAAAAATGAATGCTAAAGTTTACTTGAGCTTGTGAGTATAAAAAACCTCAGCTTCTTACTAAAAGTTTTACTTTAAAATATAAAGAGACAATGAACTTTTTGCTTATAAAACCTGTTATATTTCCAGACTGAATTTATTTGTTGTTTGAATTGGCATGTGGCCATTGTTGTCAATAAACTCTCTGAGAGGTGTGCATAAATCTGAATTTCTACCTTTTTTCTTCACCCTTTAGAACTAGATTCTAAGTGGCCACGTTTTTAACTGACTTTTTTTTTTCTTTAAAGACTATTTGTTCACACTTATGATGATTTGACACAATTAATGTCTTAATAACCATGATGGCAACACAGACATTAAGTATAGACAACTATCAAGATGGACAACAGGTAGGTGTGTTTTCATTTCTCCAGGAACTAAATACACTTAGGAAGAGGGAAAAAAAATTAGTGACTTTGTCCTTAGTGCCTGCTTTGACATTGTTTAAGCTGAAATAATGAAATAGTCGTGTATATCTGGTCATGTTTCTTTTTTTGTACAACAGGCTGTGTAGTTTTACACTTTAAATTGCTAAATTAAAATGCTGTTAACTGGAGGCAATTTGTGAGGTGGCCTCTGCTCTCAAGACCCATTTTTCTGTTACTCTGTGTTAGCTCTAAGCTATAACTGCAAGTACTTCTGTCAGCAGATGGCAACAATGGGGAACAGTCAGAAAAAAGACAGCAACTTCCCACATCTCCTATAAAATGGTCATCTGAATGCAGTCAGATTTTTGATTTTTAGTTTGATTGTTTGTTTCTTTTATTGCAATTCTAATTTTTCTGTCTTCTCTCACCTACTTTACATATTTGACTTTATTCCCCCAGCAAATACCTACCATCCTGTGGCAGTGAAAGTAAAATATGTTTTTTTCTAAAGAACAGATTGGGAGAGAGCTTTTTTTTCCTCTTTCTTGTGTATTTCAAGTTCTCACTGTCCAAGGTAGACAGGTAATTTGGGTGCCTGCTGTTTTTCTAGTTTGGAAATGTCCAAACTGGAAAAAACTTGCAGTTTTAAGTGAGCTGTTTCCTCCTCCTTGGGCAATAGAACCCAAAATGAACACACTCCCTCCCTTCAAATTCTGCAGATATATGGCCAACATTTACAATCACTTGTCTGAGTCATCCCCTTCTAATTTGCTCCTCCTTCCTGTCATTAGCCAAGAAATTAGCCCATTAGTTACTTTTTTTTTTTTTTTAAGCATTTTGGCTTGAAAATCATCTCTGCTTGCTGAGGGAGCTCTCTGCAAGGCAGGCTGCTCTGTTGGGTGGGAGATGCAGAATTTTCTCAGTTTCTGATTTTTCTAGGAGATGGCTTGGCCCCATTGGGTAATAAATCACAAACCTTTTGGTTCTCCCAAACTGTTAAGAATACTATAATTGTTTTCTGCTGCTTTTATGTGGAAATAAATTAAATTCTGTTAAAGTCAGGCTCTGTAATAGTTTCTGGAGCTGTCAGTTCTGGCTGCCTGGAGGTCCCTACAGCAGTGTCTGTCCTCTACCTGAGATAAAAGAGAATTAAGAGAAAAGATTGCAGTGGTTTCATGTCTTTGTGCAGATGCTCAAATGGGAGAAAACCAAAGAGTTTGGGCTGAAGGGAGGAAAATGTGACTTTCACAGCTGAGGTTCCTGGAAGACCTTTTAGTCCAAAAGATATTTAGCTGGAGGTGATGGAAAAAACACCTGGAACACCTTCAAAGCACCCCAAAGGTGTGCCCAGCCTCCTAATGCAATTTAGGAGGTGCTCAGGTGAAGCTGTGGCTCTGTGGTGCGTTTCCATGGTATAAATGTGGGTTAAATGGATGTGTAGGAGGAGTCCTGTAGTTTGATAGCCCTAAAATACTTGGTTCTTGCAATATGTAAAATGGAGTGCTGAAGGTCTGGAGGGGTTATGCTCTTATAATTGAAGGACTGGAGGGACACAGAATATTTCAGATTTTTTAAAGCAAATGTGCATTTTAGTGGACAAAAAAAACTAGAAGATCCTTTTCTTCAGTACCCTTATACAATGCACAGTAAAAAATAAAAAAGAAATCTTAAGTGCATAAACTTTTCTTTACATTGATTTCATCCTAAAGGATTTTTATGCAGACATTCCCATGAACTTTTTGGGGCAATGTACTGTAGGCTATTCCAAAAACAGCCACTTCAGAGACAAAATGCTTCAACAATTTACTAATATCTATCATTCCCATTTTAAAGCCAAATGCTAAAACTTGGAAATGACCTTTAGCCATCAAAAAGTGTCAGGGATTAAAAGAGGGGTTTTGTTGCTGCTACAACTTCTTGTGTCACTGCCAAGTCACACCAACCTTCTGGCAATCTAGGAGCCCTTTGCACTGCTCTTTCCTTAGAACACAGCACCCTTATTTTACGTCAGGGCTACAAATTTAACTTTTTTTTTTTCTACAGATGCAAGTGGTAACAGAGTTAAAAACTGAACAAGATCCCAACTGCTCTGAAACTGATGCCGAAGGGGTGAGTCCTGCCCCTGTGGAATCTCAGACTCCAATGGATGCAGACAAGCAGGCCATTTACAGGTAGTGCTGGACTCCTGTTCTGTCTTTTGAAGGGTGAGGGATAGGGTAGAGGATTTGGGTTTTTTTAATAAATAAATTATAAGTAGATTAAAATCAGGTGATCTCTTGGCTGTCTCCATCATTTGTAGGGAAAGAGTGAGACCACATAGGCTTCACTGTCAGTCATCAGCCAAGGAAAAACCTCCTGAGCTTGTGGGATTTTTCAATTTCAGCAGTTTCAAAGTGTATTCTAAAGGCTGCCAAATTTAGAAAGCTGCTTTAGCCTTTAAACTGTGGTCACTATTTGTCATATTGTTGTTTTTATCTTTGATGCGAGTTTTTACTTTTATTTTAATTAGGTCAATCTTTACTCCTTTTTCTGTAAGGATAAGAATCTGTTCCCCAGTAATTAGCTCAAAATGGATTAAATATTGATGTATGAGCACACTAATTTTAAATTTTTCAGTGAAAAGTGCTGTGCTAAGCAGTTTGGTCAGTTTTCATGGGGTTAAGTGTTCTTTCACCTTAACTGCTTTATAAAGACAGTAATAATTACCAGTAATAATTACTGGTTTTCAGGTTAAAAAAACCCAAAAAACCAAAACAACCACCAAAACAGGAAAAAGCCAAACAAAACACCAAAAAAACCCTCAACCTGAGGCAGAAAGATGTATCCATTCATTTACAGATTTATGCTAACAAAATCTTCTTCTTAGAGCATGATTTCACAGGAGGTCTCTGAGCTCAGCCTGAATATTCTTCTCATTTTTTTAGAGTTATTTCATGATGTGTAAGTATGGCCCACATTGAAGAATAAATTAATTTTATCAGGCTTCATTTAAATCTGCATTCATCCTCTTTGTAAATCCTAAATCTCATTTCTAGTGCACTGTATTAATCTGTCTCAGTGCCACTCAATTACAGTGAATTAAACAGTCAGAGCTTTTTTGCTTGTGATTGTTCTCTTTAATTACATATATACATATTTTACTGCTGTATTGGCCTCTGGAGTGGGGTAAATCAAAATGAAAATAAGCATTTATCTTATTTTGCTCTAGCCAGTGCTGTTATATGTAGTCTCTTCCAGAACAGTCACACTCACATGAGTGACTGTGAGCTTTTCTGAGCTAGATGTCTTAATTTTCACATAAGTGAAAATGCTTATTCATGTATTTAAACTGGTTTTCTTTTCTAGGCACCCACTATTTCCCTTGTTAGCACTATTATTTGAAAAATGTGAACAATCTACACAAGGCTCAGAAGGCACAACTTCTGCCAGTTTTGATGTAGATATTGAAAACTTCGTAAGGAAGCAGGAGAAAGAAGGAAAACCCTTTTTTTGTGAAGATTCAGAGACTGATAATTTGGTAAGTATTAGCTGTTCCTTTCATTTCTGAGACAACCATCACATTTGCAGCTTCTTCCTAATTTCTGATCTCAAGTGGTCCTAGTAGTTCCTCCTCACATTTTTCTGCCTGTGAGAGATTCTTCTTTATGTTAATGATTAAAAATATTTCTTAAAATTTCTTCTGACCCCCTTTTCCCTTTTATCTGTAAATTTACATTGGGCTCATCACAGTTGTTTCCTGTTCTCAGCTGGCATGAGTGTATTAGAGACAAACAGAAACAAATCCTTTCCACAGCCAGATTGACTCTGCAAATTAATTTTAGAGTGTTGGGTGTTTAACATATTTATCAAAAACATGTAATTGATGTAAATTTTTTTTCCAATTTTATTTAAATCATGCCTCAACTAGTTAATGTGAGGGAAGACCTATTACAAGATGATCTTAAAAAGTCTTTACCATATATAATTTTTTCTTCCACGTCATTAACTCCTTTAGGCTTTCTAAAAGTCATTCCTGTGATGAAGCTATGATTTCCCTATTTTGAATATACCTGCCTTCAATATTTTACTCAAAAATGAGAGTTAGTTCTGTTCTGCATGAAGCAGATCTGCTCACTTGTTAAGCCTCAGGTTATTTTCTTCATTTGTAACTCTCTGAATCCGACACAAAATCACTGTTTTCCCATATTTCTCTAATCCATATTTCTCTAATTTCAGAAGCACATCTGAGGTTTAATAGCTGGAATGTAGGAGCTGTGGCTCAGTGGATGAGGAAAGAGCAGTGCTTGTGGTTGATCTTGACTTTTGAAGTCTCTTGCAGTGTTCTGACAAGACAAACTGACAAGACAGGGATGAGATAAATGAGCAGCGAGCTGGGCTGAAAAATGGGTGAAGCCCTGGGCTCAAGGGGTTCTGGTCAGCAGCATGAAGTCCAGTTGAGGGCTACCCATGAGTGCTGTTCTCCAGGGACTGATTGTGGAACCAGAGCTGTTCAACATTTCCATTGCTGACCAGGGTGATGGGGCAGGCTGAGCCCTCAGCAGGGCTGCAGGTGCTGCAGAACTGGGAGGAGGGGCTGATGCACACATGGCTCTGCCACCATTCAGAGATACTTCATAGCTTTTGGAGAAGCAGAAAAATGGAAACCTCATGGAATTCAGCAAGGGAAATGCCAAGTCCTTGTCACGGTTTGATGCTGGTGCAGTGGCAGTGCCCCCATGAAAATATATTCTCTCTAGTGGCTGCTGTGAGATGTGACCAGAAATAGAGCAAAGCAGGCTCCAGCTTAGGAATAAAGGAAAAAACTTTATTAACTTACAATATGTAAAAAGGAACAGACACAGAACTTAGAATCAAAACCTTCCAAAACATTCCTCCTCCTCCTCCCAGATTCCACCACAGCACAATGAGATAAAACCTTAGATTCTTAATGCAGTTACCACCCCCCAGACTGTCAAACATAACAGTCCTAATGGGGAAAAAGACAGACTGACTCCTCAGGGCAAGAGGAAATGGGCATGAACTTACTCAGGAATGGGTGTGAAACACAGGAGGTTCCATTAAACCTTTTTCCTGTGAGGGTGATTGAATACTGCAGGCAGCCCAGTGGAGTCTCCATCCTTGGAGACAAACTCAGCTGGACATGGCCCTGAGGAACCTGCCCTACCTGACCTTGCTTTGAGCAGGGTGGCTGCATTAAACCATCTCCAGAGTTCCCTTTCAACCTCAGCTACTCTGTGGTTTCAGTGAGCCTCCAAAGATTGGTTTTCCAAAGATCCTGCTTGCCTTGGCCTGTTCCCTGTGCTTTTTGGTCATACATAAACACACTCTCAGATCCAGCTTGCTTTGGTTGTAGCTGGGTCTGGTGTGTTCAAATAGTCCTTCCTGTCATTGACCTGTTCATGGTTTCAGTTTGTGGTTCTAGTGACAAAGTCTCTTGGATTATGTGGTGTTCTCCTTTGCTGATGGGCTGCACAAACCTGGCTGGTTTTGCTTGAGGTGGGTGAGGAATTATTTATGTCGTGGATTCCGTGGCTGCTGAGGTCAGTAGTGGCTTAAACTGGAACCACATTGCAAAATCAAAAATCCTTGACATTGAACTCCTGTCCTGTGGTCATATTGTGAGCTGTGACTTTCTGTTACTGGATACCAAATGAAACCTGAGTGCAGCTTGTCCTCTGCCTGTCCTGGAGGCTGGGAGCTCTGAACAGCTGACGTTCTGACAGCTCTTCATTTGGTGTGGGGCAGTGAGCACAAGCTTCTCTTCAGTTGTGAACTGGCTAGCATGGCTTTCAGTCTCTTTTCAGCTTGAAATATTGGTGCTTGCCACAGGGAAGGCTGTAGACAGTCAGATTTTTTTCTGCCTCGTGTCACACATATATATTTTTTTTTATAAAGAGTCTCTCTTTAGTAGCAAGAAACACTATTGTGCACCTTTATTCTGTCTTCTGCTCATGCTGTCCTTCCCTTTTTAACTCCAATGTTAATTCAACCATTCGTCTGAAAGGAGAAGCTGTTAAAACTGATAATTAGACTGGGCTGGAAGGGTGGAGCAGAGGCAAACAAATAAGGTGTAAATGCTTGCTGGTCAAGGATTAACTGGGGCCAGAGCTAAACTGAGATGAACTGAGCATCACAACACTAAAGAGCCAAATTCAAATCCTGTCTGAGAGTCACAGGCCCGTTACTGTAAGGAAATTGGTCAGCTGCTTCTTTTTTTTTTTTCATTTTACCTCTTTGAGATGTGGCATGTAGAACTCTGTAGCCAGACTGCAGTTTCTGTGACAGCTTCAACTGACAGCTCCAAAGCAGCAGAATATAATGCCATGCTCCATGCTGCCTGTGGGCTAATTAAGCAGATAACAGAAATTAGGAAGGGTCACAGATAGTGATTGTAGGGTCACTTACAGTCCTGGCAATGTTCCACATTGTGCACTCACTTGAAGTGCCTTGAATACTCGACAAGAGGAGTTTGGAGTTCATCCAGGGGACCACAGAATGTTAATCTGGGTGGCACAGGCATTAGATCAGTTTGACCAGAAAGGAAGTTCATTAAGAGCAGTGGATGCTTGCTCCAATTTGAGTAGCTCTCACTAAGCTATGGTCTAGATTATCTTGTTACTTTGGTATTATAATTCCCATTCTAAATTAATTGGTGGCTTCCTGCTTTAGTATTAAAAAGGATTTCAGCAAGGATTTCTCCAACAACATCAGTTGGTGATCTTGAATCAGCAGGGCAAAAGATCATTGTCAATCCAGGAGAATTGTTCCCAGGCCTTTTTAGGACAATTGTTACCAGGCCTTTTTGACTTCTGTAGTGTCTTTCCCAGGTCTGGGTGCAATCCAGGGCCACGTGCTCTGGGATGACCCTGTGGTTCATCCTGCAGATCTCTTGTTTTCAAATCCTGTGTGAAGGAAGTGGAAGATGAAGGTTGTGCTTGTGTTCTTACAGACTAGAAATGTGCTTTCCTAGAGCTTCAACTTCCTCTGTGTCTTCTTGGAATGTTATTTGCATTCCCTTAGTCCTCTTACCAAGCATCAGTGTCAGAAGATGTGTCAATGACCAGATTTTGGTGGTCTCTGTTGCTGCTCTCTGGAAGTGTGCTCAGCTTATCCACATAACTTGGAGTATCACCTGTAGGAGCTCCACAACCTTTTCCCCTCACCCTTTGCTATCCCTGCCTCATTTTCACAGATAAAACAGATCCTGGAATGAACCAACTGCTCTTTGTTCTCCATCAGTCTCCTTTTCTGCATAGGACATCCACAGACTCCTCCATGTCTAAGAAGTTGTTCAGCACGGGTGCTTGCAGAGAGTTTTTTTAGACCTTTCTCAGATTATTTTATGTTTGAAGACATTCATTGCTTAGCACTTTTTTGTTGCTCACTGCCAACCCAGACACTGCAGAAATACCACATTGCCTCAGGGTGGTTCCTGCCTCTCTGTTCAGAGTAAACTCTTCCCACACATGGGTGGATTTTTTAATTTCTCCACATTCATAGGACCATAGGATGGTTTGGGTTGCCCTACAAGCTCAGGTGTCCAACCTCCTGCACAGAGTAGGGTCAGCTGTGAAGTCAGAGCAGGTTACTTATGGCTTTGTCAAGTCTAGACACAATACAAAAGAAGGGGTGTTAAATCTACTCTCCCTTTTGTATTTGAACAGGACACTGCCTTTTTTGAAGACCCCCGAGTTTTTTGTTTCGTTTGGGGTAAGGATTTTTGGTTCAGTACCCTCTTCTCAATTCTCTTGAATTCTTAGTTGTGTCTGGAACCTGAGTTGTAGAGGTGAAGCCAGCTGATGTCATTTGAATATTGACTGAGCAAGCCTTTCTGAAAAGGGTTTCTGCTTTTTGAATGTGCAGAACTGTCCCATAAACCTCTAGTTACTCCTTTCCTAGCTATGTCTCATAGCACAGGACTCAAAATAGAGGAGTGAGGTTATCAAATCAAAACAAATGAAAACAAAATAGCTTTTCTTCCAGAGTTTGTGTTCTTCCACTGAAAATCTGAATTGCTGCAGGAGGATTTGGGTCAGGGAGGTAGGTAAACTGTGAGTGTATATATTTTAATTGGTTTCTTTGCAAATGAAGAGTCATTTGAGTGAGATTACGTGTCAGTATATGGAGATTCTTTCATGTGTGTTGCCCACATGTGCTCTGAAATCCATAAAGAACTGTGGCTCTGTGTTTTACATCAGCACAGGTGAGCTGGGGATCACAACTGAGGCAGTTTGTGCTGTGGCTGTGCCTTTGCACCACGGGCTTGAGGCACTGAAGGCAGGACACAGGCACAACCTAGAGCATATTTAGGTTAAAGATAGCCTAAATTTATGAAATTTGGAGACATATTTATATATGAATAGGCTCCTGATAGCAAGAACTAGAAGTTTTTTCAATAACTTTTCTTTCTCTTACAGTTTACCTTTATTTACAGCAATTGTAGAAGGTGTCCCTGCTCGTGGCAGGGGTTGGAACAGGATGATCTTTAAGGTCCCTTCCAACCCAAAACATTCTAGGATTGTGTGAATATACACAAATCTCATGGTTACTTCATCTTCGTGCACTTCTCTGAAGCAATACTCCAGTTTTATTGCCACAGCTGAAAAGACTGAATCAGTTATAAAATGTCATTTTTCTGTGGCATATTCTATGCAGTAGCACTGAATGAAATATTACTGCTGCTGTGACCTGTCTGAAAACAATTCTTTGTCTTACCTTTGTCCAACTTGAGTTATTTTATCAGGAGTTCTTGATGTTTGTAGTTTTAAGGGAAAAGTGAACTTCTGCTGACATTGACTTTGGTCCACCTGTGTTGCAAGAGAGCAGGAGCCACATGGCCACAGAGTTCATGATGTTTGTAAGTTTTGTTAGGGAAAAGTGAACTTCTCCTGACATTGAGTTTGGTTTACCTGTGTTGCAAGAGAGCAGGAGCCACATGGCCACAATTAATGTAGCTGTAAATGAATTAATAAGTCCTGGTGACAGGCATGGCATATTTACAAAGTTTTGTTTTCCTCCTAAGCACAGCAGCACAGTTCCTGCAGGAGCAGTGTGATGGAGAGGGGCCCTGCAGAGACCTGGGTGGTGTTACTGAGTCTGGGTTTGTGGTTAATTCTGACTTTAATTCAATTTTCACCTCAAGTATCAACCATCCATTTTAAACTAAGTCTAGGCTGAAGAAAGGACTTTCCTCTTTCCTCCAAGCACATGCTGATAAATAAACAGTACAAATTTGGCTAATGTTTAAAAAAGCCCAACTCTCTTGACTGAGCAAAAATAAACTACTTTCTATTATGGTAAAATATTATGTGTCCAAAAGCATATTTTTTTATTCAGTTTTAGCTGAATGTTTCAAACACTCAATAATGTGATGTGCAATTTGTTGATTAGTCACACATGAAGAATTTTCTATTTTAAGCTTTTTGTCTCTGAAACAGAGACAGAATTTCTTGAAACACAGTTGACCTTTGTTTTGTGTTAAAATTTAGTTACATTTGCATGCTTTAACTTTGTTGTGTTTAAAGGTGCTTAAGCACAGTTTAAAAAGCAACCTGGGCTGGATTAGAAAATCGCTGGTTTGTGTCTCAGTGCTGGGTCACTGCACTCAATGTTTCAAAGGCTTTCAGTGTCATAGGTCAAAAGAGTTACCAGATACTCATTTGGGTCAACTCCCTCAAAAACCAGCTCAGGTGTTTCTGCAGCTGTTTTTTGAAAGATGTAATTTTTTTTTCTTTTTATCCCTGATAATTTTTTTTAATTACTTCATTTCCTAATTTTTTTTTCATCTTGTTTATTTTAACACACAGTTAAAATAAACCCAGTTGTCTACACTGAGTGAGTGTCCTAGAACCTTTTGCTGAAAAAACAGGGAAAATATCTATCTCAATTAAAGCTAAAATGTCATGATGGAGATGGGAGCACACTCAAAAGTTTTCTTGCCTTGATCTCCTTTGGGTGCCTTGAGCAAAGGCATCCCCAGCTCCCACTTGGCTTCTTGAGTTGGAAGTAATAAATAGGTTAGTTTAGAGGATCTAATTTCTGTTCACTGGATTCAGTGCTCTGCCCAGGTAAATAACCCCTCATATAGGACAGATTTTTCCAAATAATTGTAAAGTCAAGCTCTGCACTGTGCTTTAAAACTGCAGCTGTTCAGTTTCATGGAACTGAAGGATATTTGTCTCAGAGATCCAGCCCAGCACAGAAACGTTGGGGATGGCATGTTGTATAAAAAATAATTACTTTGCTGGTGTGTTGTGTACATATTTGAATGTCCTGGATTTCCTGCTGCTTTTAGACCATCTGGATTTGGTTTTAGCTTCTGATCTTCTGCCATGACCCTTGCAATCACCTAAGCTATTTTCATGCAGTATGTAATACCATTGGTTATCCAGGCTTACAGTGTTTTTCTCACAGTGAGCATGACAAGTATTCTCCTCACATACATATCTCCTGTACTTGGATTTTAGCTTAAACATGGATTATTTTTTTCATTTGGTTTAGTGCTTTGTATTTAATGTTTTGTATTTCAGAATCAGTCTCCTCACCTGAAAGTTCTTACAAGATTTTACCTGAGAGCTGTTAATCTTTGACACACAATCACAGAGGAACTTAAAAGCTGTAGCAGTGAAGAGCTGTTTGATTACTTTAAGCTTTGTTCAACAGTGTGACTAAATTTGGGGTCTCTTTATTCTAATTTTATTGAAAAATAAAAGCTTTCATCCTCCCTAGCAATCTGTGGAACAAATTTATGCTTAATCACAGGAGTGTCTTCTTTCTCACTGTGTCTCAAACCCTTCTGGTCTCCTTGTGTCAGGCTGGAGCTGAACCTGGTGTTTGATTTATAGAGCTCCAGAGAACTGCTGCTGGCCAAGCCTGTCCCAGCCCTGCCTTCCAGACCATTTCTGGGGATGGGATTGCTTTCCATCACTTCCACTCTTGTGTGGTCTGTGCCCCAGAGGTGTAGGAGGGGTTAAAGACCACATGGACATCCAGGCTCATCCTGTGCCCTGTGACTCCTGAGCTGCTCTGTCTTCCTGAAGTGTCACACGTGACAAAGATCACTTTGGTGTCCTGTTCTGTTTCCCCTGTGTGCCAGTTTCCTTTTGTTCCTTCCACATTCCAGGATTTAGCAATTAGTACCTCTGCTTTAATTGGGTGATCTTTGTTACTGGAAAGCGGTATTTGTTTAAATCTCACATTAAATATTATTTTTTTAACAAACAGCTGTTTTGTTTCTGATTTTTTTTTCCCAATTCTCTCCCTCAGATGGTAAAAGCAATCCAAGTTCTGCGTATCCATCTGCTGGAGCTGGAAAAGGTTAATGAACTCTGCAAGGATTTCTGTAGTCGTTACATTGCCTGCCTGAAGACAAAAATGAATAGTGAAACTCTATTAAGTGGAGAGCCTGGAAGTCCTTACTCACCTGTGCAATCTCAGGTGTGTTTCAAATGCTGTTCAGTGGATTTGTGCTTAGATTGCCTTAGGAAGTTACAGCTATTCTTCTTTTGCTATCAGTTTGCAAACAGTTTCTGCAGTTTCCTGTATTCTCTCAAATCAGTTATTAAGAGTATAAAAAGCTTTTTTGTTTGTTCTTTGGTGCCACTGCCTGACGGACAAATTTGTTGAAATGTGCCAGAGCACAGAGTCAATTTTTTATTATCTGTCTTCCTTTTATGATTTTCTCAGTTCAGCAAGTGGAGATATTCAGAATAGCCTGGATTTGCTATTTAGTTGGAAGGAGGTTAGGAAACAGAATAAACAAAGAAAAAAAAATTTCTTTGTTAAGGCCTCCTTAGTCTGCCTCCTTCATTAAAACATTGAGATGACTAATATATATTATACACAACCTGTATTCTGGAATAAATAGACAATATCTGATGGATTAAAGTTGCAATATTGCATTTTCTGTATTAAGTGGATCACAATTAATAGGTTTTGGTTGATGTTTTTGCTGTCAGATGCTGCAGAGTGAGCCCTGCCACACCAGTACCCATTTGATCCTGAGTCTTGGGACATGGCCTTTCTCTGAATTACTGATGTATCTGATCCTCTGTATTAAAAAAAGCCCAAATGACTTTTTAACTTCACTTCCTGGACTCTTTATATAGGTTTTGATGTCTGGAAGTGTGGAAAGGAGATTCTAAAATCAGGCAAAAAAAAGCTTTTAAAAGGTTTTTTTTTGTATGTCTCTTACAGATTTCTGTAGAGACATGAGGGACCCATTTTGCATTTGCTATCAAAAGAGATTATTCATACATGCTAAGGAAATGTGTAAGAGTTTGCATGTTCAGGGTTGAGTAAAAGCTATCTTGAGCAGAATAAAACATATTGAATATTTAATACATTATGTTCAAATTGAAGGAATTGAGGTAATAACTAAAATTCTAAAGCTTTGATGCTTGTAATAAGAGCATCAAGGGTCATTTCATTTGTCCTTTTCCCCTCTTGCCTTTGGAAACTGTTTCTTATTCTTTACATAGCTAGAACTAAAATTTCTCAAAATTGTTTCACATCTTTTCTAGCAGTTGCTTTCATGAGGGTTTTCAAAGGTAATGAGGAAGTTAATGCAGGTAATGATAAACCCCTAATGAAGTACCTTTCTCTTTGAAGGTAATCCTGTGATTCAACTCCAAATGTATTATAGAGCCAAAAATACCCAAAACAAAATACAGAAATACACAAGCATGCTTGATCTCCTTACATGAGAAAAAAAAGTTAAAAAATTATAAGTAACTAATTGTTTTATTTTCCTAGCAAATTCCAAGTGCCATTGCAGGCACACTCAGTCCCCAAGGGATCGTGGTGCCAGCATCAGCCTTGCAGCAGGGAAATGTCACTATGGCAACAGTAGCAGGTATGACACACAAAAAACAACTGGCACCTTGCTCTTCATCTTGGTTTCCTTTATGGTTGTTGCAAAAACTACACAAATACTTGAAAAAGTGTGGTTTAATACCTGAAAAGTTGTTGTAGTACAGTCAAGTGCTTTACTGGTTTATGAATCTTTGTTTCATTTATATGTTTTCCAAATATGTCTATGGGAGTGGCAGTTAAATATATAATATTAAGAGATCTTAACGTGCAACACTACATTTGTTAAATTTTCATGGACTGTGGTGTTTGACTTTTTTTTTTTTTGCTTTTAAAAAGAATTCTATTTGACAAAAACATGTATTACCTAAACCATTGCACTTGTTGGTTGCCTCCTGCTCCTTGGAGTTTGGAACCACACCTACAAGTCTGTAAAATCCTTCATGTCCTTGTTATATGGAAATTACATTTGAGATGAAGTGTTTAGTCTTGCCTCTCAGCAAGGTTTTAAATCAAACCCAGCTGCCCTAAGAACTGGCCACACTGAGGTGTGATTTTGGTGTTGTCACCTTTGTTGGTTGAAGACTTAGCTCAGTTAAAACAACATGAAGAACTGTTTTATAATCTGATAATCATGACATTTTCCTTTGAAAATAGATTTAGAATGCCTAAAATACAGGGAAATAGAATAAAATTTTGTACAGCTTTTTTTGTGAATGGATGAAAGTTTGAGTGTGGCAAAGAGCACATCATGCATGCTGACTAAAAAAGAGTAATTTATATATTATTAAAAGTCTTGTATGGTGTGCAGTGCTGATGTGTTTAAAGAGAATAATACTTGAAGGGTTTTTTCTTCCCCATAACCTGTGTTTCTGTTTTGCTTCCAGGGGGGACAGTGTATCAGCCAGTCACTGTGGTCACTCCACAAGGACAAGTGGTGACACAGGCACTGTCACCTGGGACTATTCGCATCCAGAACTCTCAGGTGTGTTCCATGGGCTCCACAGAATGGTGTTCTGCCTGGAAATACATCTCAGTGGCTTTAGGAGTTTTGATTTAAATTTGACACACTGGCAGAAGGAGCTCTGTGTACACACAGAGTAATTAATGGTAAATTGGTGCAGCCACTGTGGGAAGTACAGGTTGTAGGATATGTCATAAGGTGCCCCTTGCCACAATAGCTCATCAGAGTTCTTACCTTTTAATTATGTTCCTTTACTGATATCAGAAGAGTTATAGGTACATGAAATCAATTAAAAAAAAAAAACCCCAAACAACTAAAATTTTAAAAAGCCACCTCTAAACCCAATTAACAACAACAAAAAAAAGAACAAACACAAAAAAAACCCCCAAAAAAACCCCAAACCCCAATGCAAACCAAAAACCCCTCTGAATTAAATGAACACTTTTTCAATGATTATAACTTTTCTAATCATTGAACTTTGTTTATGGCTGGATAGATAGATAGATTTGATGTATTGCATTAGGGTGCCACACTGCTATTGTGGGAAATTTGACTTTTTATTGGCAACAAATAGAACTGTGAAACTATGTATTTCAGAGTTTATCTATTCTGAGAAGCATTTTTCTATAAAACCTTCAAAATATTCAGTTGACTCTGTCTCCTTATACCCTAAAATATAAGGGCCAGCACTCTTTTGTGGGAGGTTCTTAAGAGCTGAATTTGAAGAGTTCAAAGAAACAACTAAAGAAAAATAAACATGAAAACTAGACCATTTTCTGGTGCAGAAAACCTTGCTAGCTTTTTCTGGAAGTGGTAAACCAAATCTTCCTGGAATCTGGATTTAATTAGAAATGTGAATGAGGAGCTCCCATCTCCACAGCATAAAATCTGTTGGTAATCACTGACTCACTGGTTCCTTTTCCCCCTTATTCTGGCCTTCCAACCAAAAAAGTGTGCACAGAGTGTTCTTTGGATTGGCAGGAGAATATCTGTGCTCAGCCATGTGCCCCCCTAGAACACAGACAGCTCTGTCCTCACACACCTCTCAGAAAGAAATGTGTAAAATTACTCTCCTGGACTGAAGGGGTTTGGAAAAATTGGGGGTTTTTTACCTTTTATGAAAAGAAAAAATTATACTGAAAGGAAAATAATGCCTCTGGCCTATAAATAAAAAAGGACTTGACCTTCTGTATACATCTGTGACTACTCTTGGTGTTAGCTGGAGTCTCCAAACCCACCTATGCAAAGGTCACTAATTGAAAATCCTTCTTCAGAGTCTTCTTTTTCAGTGTTTCAGAATGCTGTGGAGGTAGGGAAAAGCACTGCAGAAAAGCTATTGAAAGTTCATTATAGAGCCTCCTTATGCAAGCAGGTTATTTAGAATGTTAGACATTACTTTGGAAATTAAAATGTGCTCCAGATAGATATTTGTAGTAATTTGATAGCCTAAACCTTGTTTAAAACTAATTTCCTACATATTGATTGGCTTAAGAAATTGCTCCAATTTGTCTGGAAAACCTGATTTAGAATTATTTTGGTTACAATTGTCTGAAATAGAATCTTATATGACAGCAGATAAATTGTGCTGTTTCTTTCTATTTCTGCATAAGCATTTAAGAATGCATTCCCAAATATTCAGATAACCAATGTGCAAATGATTTGATGAAATCATAGGAAGTGAAAAACAAAGAGAAAGAAAAAGGAATATTTAGGAAGCAGTATGAATGTTGTAAAGTGAATTATAGGTTCTGCTGTATGGATCTTGATGCTCTTTGAGAATTTAATGCATTTATTTAGCAGGACCTTTAGCATCTTTTTTTGCAACTGCAGCATAATAATGAATTTTACTTTATCCTTCATTTAAGTGTTAAATCAGTAATATTTTACAGCTTCCATAGTTGTTTATGTTTTCACACAGTGAGTATATTCAAGATATTCAAGCCTAATTTCCTTTCATTCCTTCTATAAATGAGTTGTTCATTTATTGATACAGAACTGCCATTACTATGTTAACTGCCTTATTTCTCCTAAAATTAAATGTGCAGCTCCAGTTGCAATTAAACCAAGATCTAGGCATCTTGCATCAAGATGATGGCTCATCAAAAAATAAGAGAGGAGTTCTTCCCAAGCACGCTACAAATGTGATGAGATCTTGGCTTTTTCAGCACATAGGGGTAAGGACTGAGCATGGTCAGTTTTTATGTAGCTCTTTCATGTGGTCTCTTACAATTTATTTTTTTTTCATAAACGAGGTGAATTTATTCTGTTGTCAGTTATGGAATCTCAGTTCAGCTTTCCCTGGAGTCATTTGGAGTAGTTCCATAGGTCTAATGCTGGTTGACTTTTATTAATATTTTAATAAATACATTTGTACTGCACAGTCTCAATAAATGTTGTTACAAGGAGCCTTTCTTCATTTCACTGTGTTGAGAACTTAATGCTCTCTACACTGGTTCATGGCACAAGGAAAAGTAATTCCACCTGTATTTTGCAGTGTTTTAGGGGTATTTTTGACCAAGAAAAATCTCACATTTTCTGTCTTTGTCTTTTTTCCAATCCTTCTGATGTGTACCAAGCATGTCACTATCTGCTTGTGCTTTCAGTTGTCTTCCCTTTGCATGAGTACTTTGAAAGGATAAGTGGCTCCCAAGCTATTTCCATGTTGAGTTGATTGATATTTTGCCTTTTACAACTGGTTTGCAGCAGAGAACTGAGGCAGGGAGCTGCATGTGCACTTCTTGTGTTACATGCCCTGTCCTCATCTGCTTAGAGCAGCTTTATTTAACTCCAGTGCTCCTTTATTTAACTGAGTGCTCCTCTCTTCTCTCATATGACACTGCCCTGGCCAGCAGAACTAATCAGAGCTGCTCACATGCTGTGCTGCCCAGGGATCACGCTCTTTAATAAAGACTGTCAGCCATGAGAAGCTTTTTCTTCTGAATTACACAGCAGCAGCTTCATGGTGCCACAGACACTCTCAAGGATAAAATCAGGTTTTTTGTAGTAAAGCACTCTTTGTTGAATTATTTTCATCTGTAAAAGTTTGTGATGTTTCTAAGGTTTGTGTTTTAATGAGTCAGGTGGCCTTAATCCACCCTCTTTAATCAGATGTAATAAAGGAGTTCTTATTTTTGATGAAGAGATGGAAAACAAGCTTATGCCTTTTTTGTTTGCTTTTCTGGCCTCTGTAGCATCCATATCCAACAGAGGATGAGAAGAAGCAGATTGCAGCACAAACAAATCTGACACTACTCCAGGTTAACAATTGGTAAGAGCAAAGCCCTTAATATCTGTCCTTGTCTCCACATGCTTACAACTCAGAAATAGTGAGGAGGATAACTTGGACATCTGGAGTTGAACTTAAATATTCTACATATGTTACAAAGCATGTATAGAAATACAAGAGCTGTGCACTGGCACACAAGCATGTTATTTTTATAAGGTATAATAATACTCATGCCATTTAAATTATATAAGGACTCCAGAAAACATTGCAGCACTAGGAATTGGGTTCTGTTCCAGTGCTGAGAGAGATGGAAGTACTCTGATCTCTCTTCTGCAAGTGAAGAAATTGAAGTCTAAAGGCATTTAGTGGCCTGGTGGCTGCAGATGTTTAAGAAGTTGCTGTTAACAGATTCTGTTCCTGTATCAAAGGATGCTCTCCTGAGCAGTGATGTCTGAATGGAGAGGCAGTTCCTCAGCTACACCAGTTCATGGTTCAGCAGGTTCTGTCATGTCTTATCTTTCCTGGAGGTGTAAGATAAGACACCTGCCCTGCAGAAGAGAGGAGGGAAGGTGCTGACACGTGTCCTACTCGCCTTGTGGCATCAGTTCCTAAAATTGCTGCAGCAAAGTCCCCCTGGGATCTGCCTCAGATTTCAAAGATGACACTGGCTGTGAGGCTGTGGAGGGGTCCAGGGGGGAAATAGCCAAGATAGTGACAGAGCACTGGTTCCAAAAGTGGAACAGGGTGGCTGTGCCTGTGTGACATGTGGCATGGAGCTCTGTGCTGGGATCTGACTGCTGTCTTTGCAGAGCATTCTATTACAACTTAGGAAGCTGCCAGCTGCACCTGATTTCCTCCCATTGCAGGTAAATTTGGGACCTGGATGTATTTTGTGGTAATTAGGGATGATGTCTTCAGTCACAACTCCCTGCCATAGCTCACTGTGTTGAAGTTGATTCAGTTTCAGTATTTTCTTGTTCACTAGCAGAAAGGGGAAGGGCAGCAATTAGCATGTTAAAGTAAGCAAGTGAAAATCAGAGAACTAAAAGGAGCCAGGACAGAACTGACAAATGTGTTTGCTGTCATCCCCTGGATCGGGAGCCAGCCCTTGGAAAGGGGAGCCTGTAAAATAAGTAATGCAGAAGCTTAAGGGAGTAAATGAAACCAGACCAAACAAAGCAGGTTAGGCAGGGGCTAGACTTTAGGTGAACCCCAACGAGAGGAGTATCAGCTTTCTGAGCTGGGCTGTCAGCAGGTTTTCTGGTGCTTGGTTTTTAACAAGATCCTGAAGTGTACATCTGTTGTGCTGTCTGGAGAATTTTTCCTTCTGAGGTGGGGGAAAAATGCTGTTAGCTGCAAAATTATAGAAGTGCTTTCTTAGCTAGCATGCCAAAATTGAAGGATGCTGGTGTTTGCTGGTGTTCTATGAGTGGTTCTACACTTTAAAAAGAATGTGAAGCCCAGCTGATAGATAGAAGTGCTTTCTTAGCTAGTTTGAAGGATGCTGGTGTTCTACGAGTGGTTCTATGCTTTAAAAAGAATGTGAAGCCCAGCTGATAGAAGATTTCATATTCCTAATTTTTTTTTTCCTGATGCATACTTTGTGAATGTGAGGGAGATGGAATTTACAGCCAGCTGGTCCTAAATTCACCTTGCCCTCAATTGTATTTAGGTTTATCAATGCTAGAAGGCGAATTCTTCAGCCAATGCTGGATTCCAGTTGTTCTGAAACTCCAAAAACAAAGAAGAAAACAGCCCAGAACCGACCAGTGCAGAGGTTCTGGCCTGACTCCATTGCCTCAGGAGTTGCCCAGCAGCAATCGAACGAGCTCACGATGTCAGATGGTGAGGAGAGCTGCCTGAACATGGACCATAAAGTTAATTCCTCTCTGACAGGGAAAGGGAGGGTTTGATGGCTGTGGTAGGAAGGAAACTTCTGGAAATTTCAGTATAGACGTGGTTTTAATCTGGGAAAGTATAACAGAAATGTGTCACTTTTTCCTCTCTTTAAGTTTTCTGTGGTTTAAGCAAGGGTGTTGTATTGGAATTCATGTTGAGAAACTTGCTTTTGTTTCGAAAGTTATGAAATGACAGAATAAAAGATGTAAAACTGAGATGTAGAGCCGAGTTCTCTCTGTGTGTATGTCAGGAGTGTCCTGTTGGATGAGCAGCACTGGGCTGAAGCTTCATGGCTGAGCAGCTGCAATTCCACATCTGCCTCACGTGCTTCCAGCTGAACAGTGAGAGGCAGGAAAATGTCATAGAGCCTCCACAGCCTTTGACTGAAGTAACTTCCTCGGTGTCAGATCAAACAAAAAGATTTTATTTAAGCAAGATAAACGACTGCTGTAATACCAGGATCATCCTTTCTGTCCTGCTGCTTGGTGCTTTATTCTTTCCAGTTTGTAACAAATTTTCCTTCAGCCTCTGCTGGATCTGACAACAGCTTTATCTATTGAAGTTACCTTGAATCTGATCACTCCCCTTTTTCTGCAAGCAATTAAGCTGGAACACTTTGCAGAAATGCCCTTGTGGTGACTCGATTGGAGAATTGCTGTAGTGGGTGTCCATAAAACAGATTTAAGATTCACAACACAAAGTTTAAGATTCCCGACCACCCTAATTCTGGCATTTCCTGACATTTAAGTATTTGACAACCTATATATCTTCTATTTTAATGTAGTTTCTGAAATTCCTGTGGTGGGTAACTGTTGATTAGAAGCTGTTGCTTAGAAGAAAGCTCCGCTACACGTAAGCAGCAGGCCAGAAAGGTGCTGAAGTGCTGTGGTTGTGCTCCTGCAGGTGCTGTCGTGACCATCACAGCCCCGGTGAACATGAATGTGGACAGTCTGCAGTCCTTGTCCTCGGATGGTGCCACCCTGGCCGTGCAGCAGGTGATGATGGCAGGGCAGAGCGAGGACGAGTCCGTGGACAGTGGCGACGACGACGGCGGCGACCTCTCGACAGCCAACATCAGTGGGCTGGTCCTGGATAACAGCGACTCCCTGCAGTAGGAAGCCAGAGAGCCTGGAGAAAAACACTTAGGAAAAAGAACGGACTGACTGACTGACTTTTTATAGTTTGCACAGCAAACATTTTACACAAGTTTTATTTCTAATATGTTTTATATGTAGATATAGAAGGGTGCACTTTTTTGTATTTCATAGTAAGCTTAAAGAGTGTTTTTGCAGGTGCAGCAACTTCTTTCAAATGTGTTTTGGTTTGTTTGGTTTTTTTTTGTTTGTTTGTTTATTTTCCTTTATTTCAGAAAATTATATCTAGTAATATAAAGAACCACGTAAGCACCCCTTTGTTCTCTGAATTGGAAGTGCTGCAGTTTCTGATGAATTATGCAGTTTCAATTAGTGCTGTTATTTAACACAGCTTTTGATGGGCAGGTGATGTAAATTTAAAGCATGTGACACTAGTGTGTGAAACTTGATTATTGAGTTAGATTCAAATATTTGAAAGATGCTTCTGCACCTTAAAAACTGCTAGTCTGAGGTGGACAGCAACACACATAAAAAGGAACTGTTGATGTGTGATTCAGTAGAGAATGTATGGCAATTTAAATAAGTTTAGTTTCTCTCATAGTCCGTGAGCCTGTTTATCATTTGCTATAAAAACTCCTATTTTTACCTTGCTGGGGTTATTGGATAAAAAAAAAAAATATTTTTATAAATTCACTAGAAATTGGGATGACAACTGTATTAAGCAGGAGGAAAAAAAAATAATTTCCAGAGGGGAAAAATAAATGTTTAGTATTCCTATTTGGAAGGTCTGAAAATTGACCCAATTTAATAAACAAGCCTACAGTAGCATTCTATGATTCTCAGCTATCCCACAGTGATATACTATATTTGATAATAGCATAAGAAGGGCCCACTGTTTGATGGGATTTTGATATTGTCAAACATTGATTTATATTATGTGTAAACTAATATTCAAATTGCATAACTCTGTATCTAAACTTGTATCTGAAAATATTTGCTAAATGAGTATTCAGGTAAGTAAGTTCAAATACCCACAACTTTTCCAATTATTAGAGAAATTTAACAGTTTATAGTTTGTACAACTGAATCTAAAAAAATGAAAAGTTGCCTACTATACAGTCATGAATTTGCTATTTTATTGCATTTGAAATATTTTCCCCTATTACAAAAAGAAAAATATAACATGGATTTATTTAAAATTTCTTCAGATCTGAAGTTTACTACCAGAATATACAGCAGGCTTTGTTAGAGTAGGAAATCCTTGTGTGTCATTTAAAAAACAAAGAGCTGGTGATAAAAACAGCTGGGTTTTGGTTTGGTTTTGTTTTGGGAACTTTTTTTTTTGTTGTGGTAACAGTTCATTTCTTTCATTTTCCCAAAGTTTGAAGTCTGTGATTGTCTATCCATGAACACTTGCTTTTGGAACTTTGTATTTCCCGTTGTTGAGTACAAATAAGAGACTCAAGAGCCTCATGCTATGATCAACACCCTCTTTTGTCCCTGTCCATTTGTCAAAGTGTTGGCTTAGCTCAAAGCCAGAATTTCCTTCTGATTTTGACCAAATCTGGGTGTGTTTCTAACGTGACAGGGGGAAAGGTGCTCACCTTCAGAATCTTCAGACTCTGTATTTGAACAAAGCCCTTTGGCAGATGCAAATATTTCACTGAATACTTGATTTCTGCTTCTCAGAACACTCAGACACATCAAGGTCCCCTTGATTTCAGGAGGATGAAGGAATGTGCTGCTGGACCTGCTGGAGTGGCTGGAAGCTGGTCATGGCATTGTCTTCCAAGGCAAGGTTGAGTTGGTAGGAAGAAAAGCTTCAGGAAGAAATATCAGTGGCATTGCCATGCACACATGGAGAATAACAGGAGTGGGAGTTATTTTTTTATAAATGGTTTTTTCTCAACACAGGAGGTGTTTCTGCTCTGGCTCTCACTGAGTCCTGGCTGAGGATCTTCCTTAGTTCTGGTGCTGTCATGATCTGCTCCACTGGACTGGTGATTTCTAAAGAATTTGTTTTCTTCTGGCTTCTCTGCTTTGCCACTAATGTGCCACGTTTGTTAAACAGCACAGTAAATGAATAATGGAAGATGAATTAGGAAGGCTTTGACACAGCATGGCTATCTCAAAGGCTGCTGTCAAATCCAGTTTGACCCCAAACACTTTCAAAGTCAAACCATGTACAAATCCTGCTCCTTTGGAAGCATTCAGCTACTGCCCCTACAAAAAATAGCTTAGATTGCTGGAACTCAGATTCTGTATTTTTGGTTTTAGTTGTTTTTAACTCCAAGAGTGCTTCATTACCCCACCATTTCCATTAAATAGCAGGTTATTTTGTTGGTTTGTTTGGGGTTTTTATTGGAAACAACCAGGCCTCAGGGTTTGCAAACTTCTGAAAGTTTATTTTTCAGAAAGAAGCCATTTTCTAGTTAGGTTTTTTAATTTTAATTTTATTTTAAATTAAATATTTAAAATATTTAATTTAAAAAATAATTTAAATATTACTCCCCCCACCTTACATGCAGCAGAAGTTCTATTCTTCCAAAACATGACCTTGTCTTTAGCTACTTTATCAATTCCTGGAGACTGAAGTTGACAGAGTTTACTGTGAAAGGAGAATGTGGAATAGTTTCACTGTCAGATTAGAAACATTAAAAAAATATAGGGACTTGAATTCTTAAAACTGAAAAAGCTTCACCAGTGTAAAAGTATTGCTTAACATGTGAAACTCAAATATTTTCTTTCAGTTCAGTGAGAATTCTGTAGTGGGTGTGAACTGCAGGGAAGTGCTTGTTCTTTTCATTATTTGAAAAAGAAAAAAACAAGTAGTTTGGGGTTTTTAATACCTTCTCTTTTTTTGTTTGTTTGTTTTGTTTTGTTTTTTGTTTTCTGTGTAGGAAAGATTGCTGGTTTCAGCAAAGCATCACCATTCAGGAAAGGTACATGTTTACATTAGTTAAAAAGTCTTTACAGGGGACCTGACTTTGAGTCTGTGTATAATTCCCCCTGCCCCCAATTAAAGTCATATTCATATGCAATAGAACCAATTTGGTTTTTGAATCAATGTGATTCATCTGCAAATACAATTATTGAAACTTCTAATTTATTATTTTTTTTTCAATCTAACCCAAAACAGGGTTCTCAGTCAAATTTCTTCAATATTCCTGGAACAGGCAAGGCAATTTTCTGGTTGTTTTTTTTTTTTTCTTAACTTTGGAAGCATTTCAGTTCAAATCAATTCCAAAAGGATCAGGATAAGTTTCTGAATGACTGTTACAAAGAAATAATCACGTGGGAAAATACTCAGAATCAGCTCTGGCTCTGCAGAAGGTTTTCTCCATCTGGATTTTGTGTCTCAGTGGAGTCCTGCTGACCTCAGGGAAGCTCCACACGGATCCAGGTCAGGCTGCATTTGCCTTCTCCTGGTACCTGCTCTCTGTCAGGAATCTTTAGGAGATCCAGCTCTGCCTTGCCTGCACTCCTGGATCTCCTTCCAGTGGAAGCCTGGGTGTGGATGAAGGGCTTGGCAGGGCAGGATTTCCTGGCAAACTGGGGTGCACCAAATAAATTTATTTTGATGTTCAAGATGCAGCCAGGAGCCAGACCTGAGCGAGGAATTGCAGCTCCCAGTTCCTGTGCTTTCAGAGCAGCTTTATGTTGATGGATGTTGGAGTGGAATGGGAGCACACGTGGCTCCAACCCCAGCTCCTGGCCTGAGGTTGGCTCTGTGGCTCAGAGCGTGGTGCCAGTGACACCCAGGGCACAGCTCTGATCCCCACGTGGGCCATTCCCTGGGGAGCTGGACTTGTTGTGGGTCCCCTCCACCTCAGAGTGTTCTGTGGAATAATCCATGCATTTGTTTCTGGAAGAATCACAAGTCCACCTTCCTGACTTTAGGAACTTGGCAGCCCACGGGATAAAACAAAGCCTTTCCAAGGGATGATAGTTGCACTTAAACAAAAAAAATCTGGAACGCCCTGGTGTTTTGAAAAACTGGAACACATGCATTTAATTGTAATTAAAGTTGATTTAACATTTTATTTTCTGAAGCTGAGTCATCTTGGGAGGAAAAAAAATGAATAAGTATTTGTCTATGCAAGACACAAATGTCAAAAATGTGTGAATTACCCATTTTTAGGTACTGTATTGTTATTGTCTTTCTGACTTCTGTTCCTTTGATTAGTCTCTTCAACCTTTCAGCCTTACATTTGGCTTGGAGTTGAACAGGCAAAATGTAGTTTTGAAACCCTGTTGGAAATGTAACTAACCTTCGTTCCCTCATGAAAATCTCGCATGTTAAACAACTACGTGAAATGTTTTGGTTTCCTAATAATAAATTCAAGCTCTCACCACCTCCTGAACACAGCAGATCCATGAACACGCACGTGTGACTGTGGTGTGCAATCCACCCGAGCAGCTGCACTTTGCTCCTCTCTGCAGCAGAGCTGAGGACAAAAGCAGGTTCATTTTGCCAAACTCAAACTCAGCGTGGATTCCTTCCCCTCTTTCCCCTGCCCTTGGCATGCTCAACTCCTTCAAAGACCTTCTGGGTTGTTTAATTTTCAAGATGGTCCAGTGCAAAGTGCAGTGAAATTGGCGCTGATGTGATTTTTGGTGATTGCCCAAATCAGGTAATTTGTTCATTCCCTTCACCTGGAAATACAAAATCCGTTCCGTTTCTGTGACTTAGTTCTTTAGGACCTGCTGAGTGATCGCAGTTGGTTTTGCCAGAGAAAAGCAAGGTGTGAGAAGGCAGGGAAATGCCTTTCCAGCCTTGCAGACACCCATAAAGACTCCTAGTTGGTGTTAATAAAATCCAGTGTTTCAGGTGGTGACAGAAGCCCCCATAACCTGCCCAAGGATTAGCAGCACTGGGTCTGTACAATTGACAATCTTTCAAATGTGAACCCTGTAACTTTTCTTTCCTTGGTTGTTAAGGGATTTTGAAGCAACTGATCTATCAAGGGATGAAATTAAAAATGAGAATATGCTTCATGGATGATTTATTTTTACACTGCTGCTCTCTGTGAACAGAAATAGCACATTTTGGAAGCAAAGCATTTACATTGCTTTAACAGTATTGTTTGGCTGAAAGACAAATACGTTTTCAGGAAATCTTGAGCATAGTTTCAAACTATTTAACCAGTTCTTGGTCAGGGAAAGTCCTTGGCCCTTGTATTTGTTTGGGGTTTCTTGTTTATGCAAATGAAAAAAAATGTTTACTAGTTCTTAACCAGTGTGGGGATTTTTATTACACTTTTGTAATGCAGGAGCAGCTTGGATGAAAGAAAGAATTAGCAGGTAAATAGCCCACAATGTTTGTGACTTTGGGTGGGGTTTTCTTTTTGTTGTTGTTTCAAAATTATTAATTAAAATGGCATGGACATCAAACTTTCAGAAATGGTTCCAAGCATATAGTGGCTTATTTGAAAACACTTCCTCTCTGCAAATCCCATGTGTTAACTTGTTTAGCCAGATTGTAACACATTTCTAAAATTACCTTGTTCTACCAAATCAGAAATCTTCAGGAAATGAGCAGCTCCTTTATTACAAGAATCTTCTCAATCTCAAACTAATTTCATATCCAGCGAGTCCTGCTCAGCAGAGATTCAATCAGATGTAGGTAGTCTTGGATTTACTTCTGCTGAGTACTGGAGCATTATTTATTCCTGCTGGAGCATTAGTTATTCCTGCTGTCTCTTCCCCAGCATCTGGCACAGTGACACCCACGAGTGCCTCCAGAAGGGAAGAGAGCAGATTTTGGATGATGTTTTGTGGTTAGAGGGTTAATCTGTGGATAGACAAGTAGTTTGTGTTCTAGACAAAGGAGTATTTATCA